CGTTCGGCGCGGGCACGACGACCGGCGGCGGCTGCGTGTTCCGCGCGGCCGGCGAGGGCGGCCCGGGCGCGTGCCCGCCGCTGCGGCGCGGCAGCACCGTCACGCCCGTGGGCGTGAGCCTGCGGCCCTCCAGCGAGTCCTCCTGGATCGCCGCGCCCCCAGCCGCGGCGCCCGCGCCAGCGCCCGCGCCCGCGGCGCTCGGCTTGTCGGACCTGCCGCCGCGCCGCAAGCGGCCGGTCCACGCGCCCAACTGGCTGAGCGGCGACTTGAGCGGCCTCGCCGCCGCAGCAGCACGGCCGCTGGCGCGGTCCTTGAGCTTCACGTCTTATGAGCTGGGGCAGGTGCTGCGGCGCGTCACAATTGAGTGCGACGCGCCCGCGCCACCGCGCGAGGACGCGCTGGGGGCCGCGGCGCCGCCGCTTTTCGCGCCCCCGCCGCCCCCGCTGCCCGCGGCGCCGTTGCGGGTGCCGGCCCCGCCGCCGCCGCGGCTGCGCGGGCAAGAGCAGCAGCAGTCGGTGCCGGCGGCGTGTGCGGCGCCGGCCTGCGCGCAGCAGCGGCATCATGCGGAGCAGCACGTCGCTGCCTGCAGGCTAGGCCAGGGGCTGCCTTGTGCGCGGCAGGGGGAGCCAGTGGGATGAAAGAAAGGGCGTCAAGCCTGGCCATCAAACGAGCACCTAGCACATGAACTCGAAGACATCAACCATGTCATGTCACCTTTGTTGACTGGGGGAGGCGGCCACCCCAGGCCGCGCGTACCTGTGTGCGCACCCCCTCAATGTTTTCACAGCCGCAGCACCGCGTTTTCATGAACCCGGGCCGCTGATGCCGCCACACCGGTCCGCACCTTCCAAGGCGGCTGTTTGCCAACGACGCTCCGACGTGCGGCAGAGCGCGCTCTGCCGATCAAGGGCCAAGGCTGCCAGTGCCCATGTCCATTATTCTCCTCAACCCAGCCGGCGTGGCGATGATAATGCGTCCTTGCCCTGCGCGTGCGGTTTTGCACGACCTTTGGGCGCAGCCTCAGTGCTGTGGTCAGCGCTGCTCCTGCCTTGGCGCCCCCGCAAACACTCACCGGCGGCGCATGCAGCTGTGCCATGCGCTGGCATGTGCGACCCTAAACAATCGTTGCTGAATAAAGGCCCATTCTGGAGCGTGCGACAATTCTGTTGCGGCTCTCATTGTATGTTTATACTCAGGACACATTTGCGGACCCAGAAACGCATGCTATGCAGGTTCCCTGCTGCAGCAGCTTGCACAACAAGCCCTGTCCCTCGCCTGCCAGGGGCGCACGTACAGCCACTTTTCTTTGCGCCTGAAGCATCGCACCTTGGGCCTGAACAGCCATGCCCCATCACGACCCCATGCATCAGCCATTGCGGGGCTGTTGCCAAGGTGCGCTTTTGGGAGGGCCTCGCACGTAAGCTGTGTGTTGGCGCAACACACAGCTGCAGTGATGCGTCGTTCTTGCCCCTCCTAAAGCTTGCGGGCCCGCGCCTGCTCATGATCTTAGGTACGATATTCATTTCATGCCGGGGGATGCCACGCACAGCAAGCAGCATATGCAGCGTTGACTTTAGGACACTTTTTTGACTTGTGCGATGGTGCTTGTCCTGACGGCATACTGTTGTATGCAAGGGCACAGCCGCTGCATTTTCAACAGGACAACAGCACACCTGAGGCTGCTCAAAACACGTGCCGCACCCACCCACATGATTCTCTGGCTCATGACACACATGCTGTCCCAAATCATCCGTCACCACTCCCTAATCGCACTTTTCTCTGATGTGCGCATGCACATGTGCTGTGAATGCCCGCCGGTGCCAAGCTCTGACCTGAAGGCGTGACCAGCCGGTAGGCGGCACGTGGGCAACATGCTAACTCAGCATGAGTCATCATGGCACAGCTGCATCCAATGTTGCACTGTGCCAGCACCCTCAACATAGTCTCAGGGGTTTTGCGAAGTACTGAATTTCAAGCCACAGGTCATGAAGGCTGGTGCCCGTTTTAGTACAGGCGCCTGCGCCGCAGATATAGGCGGCCGGGGATGCTCCGCCCCTTTTGATTGCAGCTTCTGAAAAAAGGAGCACACCCGCTGCGGCTTTGGATTTGCCAGGTTCATTCAAACCCATTTTCTTGTTACATTCAGTTTAGGACCACAATATCCAGTCAGGTAAAGCACATCATGATTTGTGTTGTTGTGGCGTGCTAATGTGGGTTGCCAAATGATTTTTCGGACGGCGGGGGGGGGGGGGGGGGGGGTAAGAGTTCGCGCTGACACACAGCTTGGATTAGGGGGCGCAAGGGCAGTCCGACAGTCCACTCATGATTGTATGAATTGGCGCCCTGTCTCAGGTCTTAGTGACAATCGGACAGGGCGCTTTTGAAGCCGCCAGCGCACAAAACAAGTTTCACTTGCACACAGCCGGCGCTGACCCTGGGGTGGGTGTGGATACATCGCACAGCGGATCCAATCGTTACGGTACGGGTGCGCCGGGTCCGCCTCATCTGGCGCACTTGGCGCACAATGAATCAGTCACTCACATCACGGAAGCACGTGCGATTTTGGCCGCACATCCGAGCGAAGCGCGTGATCTAAGATCTGGGCTCTTATACGGGAACCCACAAAAAACACTTGTCACAACACCACACAATATCAATTAGTCGTTGTCTGCTGTGAAACTCCTCCGTTCAGAGCTGAGGCTGCGCGGGAAAGCGGGATTCAACGCACAACAGTACCCAGCGAGCCCCAGCGAGCAGAAGAGACACACTATTCTATAGCAACTAACTGAGAGGTGATGGGGTATCCCATCAAGCTAGGGGCGCCGCGGCCGCCGATCCGATGCAATGCGGTGCTGTGCGCTGCGAAGAGTACTCTTCTGGGGTGCGGGCACGTAGGGGGCTTGCAGCGCAAGATCAAGTGCATGGCAGGCAGGCGGTGATACGAAGGCTGCAGCAGCACCTTCTTTGACAAGGCAGCCTCGTGCTGACGTGCAACAAATGGCGCCGCAACCGATGCACCCCGTCTGGCGCAACTCCACATGCAGATGGCGGGCGCAACGGACGGCCTGCGGGAGCAGGGCAACGCGGAGTTCCGCAACGGGGACTTTCTGAAGGCCGCGGCCACCTACACACGCGCGATCAAGGCCAACCCTGGCAGCGGGGTCCTATACAGGTTGGCAGCCGGGGCGAGCCTCCCTCGTGCAGCATGCGCCGCGCTCAGCGCACACGTTGAGGCGGCGGCAGCTTGCCAATGTCGTGCGTGGTTCTTGAACGGGATGGAGTCTGCTGCAGTGCGCGCCAGAAGACGTCTGCCTCCCCTTCACATATGTGTCCGCTTGCATAATAACGCACGCACATCCACAGCAATCGCTCCCTGGCGCTCATGAAGCTGAACAAGCTTTCAAAGGCCCTGAGCGATGCGGAGCAGTGCACCAAGCTGGACCCCGCCAATGCCAAGGGGTGGTTCCGGCGCGCACAGGCGAGCGGACGCACAGGAGAGGGCGGTCAGGGAGAGGCAGGGCAGCCCCTCGTGTTGCCGGCGCGCCTCATGCGCCTGCACTTGGAATGTGTGCGATGGCGCATGTGAATTGTCGCCGTGACGTGAGTAGCTGGTGATATCGAGGCTGAGCCTTTCTAGCCGTGACGGGGCCCCTGACGTTCCTCCACCCGTGTGGCGGCACGCAGATCCTGGAGGCGCAGGGGCACTTGGAGGAGGTGGGCGGGCGGGGACGCGTCGCGCTCGGCCGGCCATATTGTCCGCCCGTGTGTTGGGTCAGATGCAGAACGACGTTTTTTGTTTGCAATGCCGCATCAGTCAGTGACGACAAGCGCTCTGCCCGACACCCCCATTTTGCGGTCAGGCGGTGCAAGTGCTGAAGGAGGGCACTGAGGCGGCGGGCTCTGGGGAGCAGGAGCTGGGGAGGCAGGTCAAGGCCCTAACGCGGAAGCTCAAGGGATGCGGCACCAGCGGCGGGGCCGGCGCGGCAGCGGCGGCAGGCAACGCCAAGGCGACGCCCGGCATCAAAGCAATGGCTGCAACAGGGGTGTGTGAAAACGGCGGCAAGGTGCGGGGGCAATGCTTCTGGCTTGCTCGAGCCAGGCACGGTTTCCGAAAATGCTGGCGGCAGCGGCTGCAGCGCCCGCCTATGAAACGTGCGCCCCAGCTCGTGCCGCGCGCACATGGCTGCAAGCCCATGCCTCTGTGCACCGCAGGCTCCGGCCTCCGCGGCTGAGGCGGCGGCGCTCGCATTTGCGGACAGCTGGATCGCGTACGCACAGGAACAGCTGCGGCAGCACGGCACCGACTTTGCTCCCACAGTCCACTTCATGCCAGGTGACCAGGGGCTTTGGTGGTGGGCCGCGATTGCTAGACCCAGTTGACGCTCGACCACGCAAGCAGGCAGCGCCGTGATATCCGGTCCTCAGCGCACATCACGCCCGTCTCGCCCCTCCACCGCGCCGCATCGCTTGCAGGCTCGGGCTCCAACACGCCGGAGGAGCCGCACGAGGCTGCGAGCGTGCAGGGCAAGGGCGCGTTTGCCGACCCGGCGGCGCTGGCTGACTTTGTCAACTTCCTCCGACGCAAGGGCGAGGAGCTGGCGGCGAGGGCCGTGGTCAGCATCGTGCCCAAGGCTGCGGTCGCCTTCCCGCAGGTGGGCGGCGGGTGCAACAATCTGGGCCCGGATTGATGCGCATTGCGCGGCCTGGCCCTGGGCCGCTGGTTGCGAGCAGGGGCGTGCTGCACGCTGTCATGGCGCCAAGTCCGTTGATGGTATAAGTGCGCATTGCCACAAGCGCAAGTCCAAGGATGACCCCCTGGTTGCCGCTGTTTTTGGTTCGCGCATCGCAGATGTGGCTGCAGCAGCTGTGGCCCTATTCACGGGAGCAGGACGGCGTTTTTCTTCAGCTGCAGGCCGTGGTTCCTGGGCAGGAGGCCAACGCCAAACCTGCTGGCGCCAGCAAGGGCGGAAAGGGCGCCGCTGCACCGGCCGCGGCGCGCCGCAGGGACGCACCCAAGGCGCGCGCAGACCAGGGCGCTTCGCCCGGCAGCACGGAGGCGGCTGTAGACGCGGGCCAGGTTTCACGGCTGTGGTTTGCGCGGCTGGGCGAGGCTGAGGAGGGCGGCAGGTTCCGGGCGCGCGCGCTGCACGAGCTGCCTTGCGACCTGGCATTGCTGCCTAGCCTGCTGCGGTGATGGCCTCATGTGCCGATGATGCGGCACTGTTCGCCTCCTGCTTCCCTTGGTGTGTTCTGACTGTGCTATGTGTTATGGACGCTGGCAAAGGAGCATTCCCCCCGGCAGCTTCCAGGGAGGGGCGGGTGGATGGACGGGCAACCTTCTCACAGGTGCCCTCTGAGCCTTGTGCTGCCATACATTTTGAAGTAACTCCGGGGTGCTCGGCATACGTTGCGGGCTGGCTCAGTGCTCGCGGTGGTGGCGAGTGTGGGCTACAGCTGCCATAGCAAGCTGCTGAAGACAAATGACCGCGCTCAGCACCATGTGCATGATCTTTGTGCAGCATGGATTGTGCGTCCAGCCGCACATGCAAATCTAAAGGAGACTGCATGGAGGGTTTCAGGCGGGTCGCATCAGGACTGGTCTCATGGTCACCGCCGACAGCAGCAGCGGCGTGCGACCCCCCTGGGCCACCATGTAGAATCAGCAGGGCAGACCAGCCCGATGCAACATCTGCAATATGGAAACAAGGTTCCATTACTATTGTTTGGCACCTTCGAGATGCTTGTAACAGCCTACAAAACCGACCGATCCTCGTCACACCCACGGCTCTGCCGCTCCCATTCCGCTCCCGCGAGTACAAAAAAGCCGCACTGCTCATACAAATCATTAGCTTGTCGTAACAAAGAACTCCTACAACCTTCTCACAAGCCTCCACCGTCCACGTACAAGCAGCAAGGTGAGGGTTTCCTCTCTTTGGGCGAGGCCTGCCCAGCTTGAGTGCCTCGATCCTTCAGAAGCATGAGTCGCGCATCTTGAAGGCTCGTAGATTCCGTGCGGCCGCTTGCTACGGCTTACATGGATCTGCGCTAGTCGTCCAAGTTGACCGCACCTCCACCATACGTTTCAACCTCCACTGGCAGCATGGGCAAGAAGACCAAGCCCACGGAGGCTGCGGCCGCGCCCGCCGCTGCCGCCGCGCCTGGCAAGGCACCGAAGCCGGTATGTCTTGTTTGCCACGATGCCGCAACCGCTGTGCACGGGGCTTTTGGTCTGCATGCAGCAGCTGATACAGCGTGCATGGGCACGCTGTCTGGGCAAGTGCGTGAAGGGAGGGTCAACCTGGTGATTGAATGCCCCAACCCCCTCCCCCCGCCACACACACACACACACACACACACACACACACACACACTCGCCTTCCGTGTTGCTGCATGCTTTCGACCCAATCGCAAGCTGCTCATCGTGCCTGCCTTGCATGCACCGCCCTGCACAACCGCCATCGCAGGAGAAGGAGGAGAAGAAGAAGGGCGGCAAGAAGAAGTGAAGAGGCCAATGCATCATGAAACACAATAACTGCTCAAAAACGCACGTCTGACTGTATCACCATCGTGTAACAGCAACAACTCAATCATCTGGTCTTTGACACTGCGTGTGGTGGCCCTGACTGGGATCAGCAGGGCTGGGCAGCACGAGCAGAACTGGTCTGTTCCTGTTACCAGCTGTACGACCTGCACAGTGCCAGCTCATCAGCATCTTGAGCAAAGCGATGCAGTATGGGAGGGTACAGCAGACAGCAGCGTCAGCTGTTTTCAGGTTTTCACAGAAAATACTTGTTGCCAGCTCTGGTGCTTGCTCGCTGGGGCCTGCAATGAATGGTCTAGAAACAGGATGTTTCAGCGAAGCCCACATGTGCGTTGCTGGTGAGCTGGGCTGGGGCCACTCATTGCGCGTGCGACCCTGGCGGAGGAAGCACAACCCAAGCTGCGCTGCTGTTGTCATCAAGTGCCTGTAAAACTTCATAGCTGAGCCCACGCGCACATGGCTGGCTCACCATTGTGGTGGGGTCGGCGTTCCCTCAAGTCCTGACGGCATTCAGGCGCTCCTGCAGTCGTGCCGCCAGCTGCTTTGGCTCCGGCTCAAGTTGCTGGGCTGGGGCCACCACTTGCGCCACGCATGGGCAACTGAGGCATGGAGGCATGAGCAGCTGTCGTGCCCAGCCACCGCCATATGCGAGCTGAACACTCAGCATGCTTGCTCGCATGCAGGAAAGCGGTCTGAACCAGGTGGGTTTGTCGCTACGCCCACACACTGTGTGGGCATGCCTGCCCTGCCTTGACCGCCCTCAACTCTGCCAACCGCGCCCGCCGCAGCGCGCGCACCGGCACGCGCTTGCTGCTGTGTTTGCCGTCCTTTTTGCGTGTTCACGTCGTTGAGATTAAGCTGCCAGATGTCTGCTGCGTTTCCATTGCCCTTGGGTGCGGCACAGTGCACAGGGATCCGTGCAGGAGTTTGCATATGCCAATACGCGCGCGCATTGCATAGGCTGACCCAACTTGGGCCTTCAAAAGCACATGGTATGACTGGAGGGCTGCGGAGGGGCTTTCAAGCTATGATTAGATGAATGGGCAAAGGGCTGCAGGCAAGCAAACTTATCCCAGCCCATCCTTGCTCAAATTTTGAACAGCTGCACTGTAGACGCATGGGTGGAAAAGGGCTTGGATTCAGTGAGCAGGGACGGCGGGGGAATTTACAGCGTGCCACAAGCGCCAGCAGCCAGCAGATGATGCGGATTGGTCCACAAAATCGTGGAATGGCACAGCAGCAACACCGTTGCCACATGCGTGCTCCTCAGCAACCAACAGCGTGGGCTTTCATGAAGGCCGCTGCTGCAGGGCCTGCATCATGCGCTGTGGCGAAGGGCGCAGCCCAGCCAAGCATACAACAGCAGCCTCTGTCCGCTGGCATGCTGACTAGACCTCAGCGACGCCGATCGTCTCCTGGGGTTGAGGGCAAGGTGCACAATTGCCTTGAAGGCTGTTCGGGCCATGGCAACGCGTACAATGCAGGCCAATCACTTGCTGTGCACCTCGAGCGCTGCAGCCGTCGGGCGCCCTATCACTGGCGCCCTCATTAAGGCAGTGGCCAATAGGCTTGTGCCCTTCCAGGCCACGGTGACACCGCCCGATATCCCTCCCTGGGAAAAAAGCCGGGCCCTCACCTGCTCCAGCGTAGCCCCCACCGCGTTGACCTTGCTGATCCACACATCAAGCCGGTCCTTCAGGCCGCCAACCTGGGAGGGGCGACGGCAGGGGCAAGGGTGGAGTGCGAGTGAGCAGGAGCAGCGGCGGGCGCGGCGGCAGCAGCGGCAGTAGCAGCACCAGCACCAGCACCAGCAACACCAGCACCAGCAGCAACAGCAGCACCACCAGCAGCAAGATGCAGCCAAGCACGCAAATGCCTCCCCTTGTGCAGGATCCTGAGGGCAGGGTCCTGAGCACATGACAAACACAATCGAACCCAGCAGGGGCGCAGACGTCCTGCAAGAGGCCCCTCAATCCTTTGCCAGGCACCCGTGCCCTGCTCACCTGCTTGGCTGTAAGCACCCTGCTCTGCACCCAGCTGACGGCCACTGTGCCGTCCACCTGGTCAATGCTGCCCTCTATCAGGTGCAACGACAGCGACTTCATCAGAAGGAACTCGACACCGTCTGGTTTGTAGAGACAGTGTGGATTCCATGAGGGCAGGCATTGCAGGCATCCCAGAGTTTTGGGATGACAAACATGAGGGGTGGAGACAACAACCGAAGAAAAAGTACACGAAGAGTGGGGCTGGTGGCAAGCAGTGGCAAGCGGTCGCCCGTTCGCAGGGGAGGCAGGAGGCCAAGGCCACAAGTAGGAAGAATGCAATGAGCAATGACGCGGGGCCAGCAACATGCACGCCCGCAACGCACCGACAGAGAGTTTGGTCTTGTCTGCGATGGTGGAGAGCGGGATGGCGCGCTGCTCTGGGGGGAGGTCTGAGATGAGGTTGATTAGGCAGCTGATGGTCACCTGTTGGGGAGTGGGGTCCGCGCGCACCGGGGCGGGCGGGTCAGAGCACGAGAAAGCAGCGGTTTTGGGAGGTAGTGTAGCTGCGCCTGGATTGAGAGAAGGCGCTATGTGTGCATGAAGCACGTGCGGCTGTCGCTGCAACGTACCCCCTTGAATCTGAAGCCGCACAAAACACTTCGAATTTGGGGGGGGGCCCTTTGGGGGGAGGGGGGCAAAGGTGCCTGCTGGCGTATCGTCACCTGCACCCCCGCACCTTTTCTCTAAGCCGCCGCTCATTCTCCACCAGTGCAGGCTGCGCATTCAGTGTGGACGCGTACTTGGCGCACAGCGCGTCGTACGCTTGCAGGTCACCTCTGCGAGGGTGAAGCCATGGTGTTTTGAGAGGGGGGGGGGGGTTGGGTTAGACAGGGCGGGAGGTGACGAAGAGCAAAGGCGGAAGAGCAAATGATTGGATGCAACGCCTTGCCGTGCACGACAACGCCGATTTTGCTGGCTGCTGGACTGTCTGTTGGTAGATACGTGCAGCCCAGCTGCGCGCTGGCTGACATGTACTTCCTTGCGTCTCGTCCTTGCCCACAGCCCCTTCCAGCATCCGTGCTCCCCTGCCTAGCTCTCGCAAGACTCCATTTACTATCCCACACCCCTGCCAGTTGCCGCCAATTCCCCTTGTCTTGTGCCCCCGACGGCTCCTGCACCTGTTGAAGACCTCCAGCATTTCCCCCAGCCATGCGTAGCTGCCCTCCTGCAGCACTGTCACGATGGGGTGCATCAGCAGCTGCGCAAAGCCGTAGACGCCCTCGCCCAGCAGCGCTGCCAGCGCAATGTCCACGGCCAGGGGGACTTTGAACTCTGGCAGCAGGCTGTCGCTTGACACAAACGCCAGATACTGCGCAGGGGAAGAGGAAGCAAGCAAGGGTCGGCGGCGGCTTGAGGTGGAGGCAGTGTCAACGCAGGCATGAGCGGACAGGAATGCCGATCGGGCCCACAACCATGCGAACTGTGCTGTCGTGTGGCCCTGCGTGCGTCATGTGCAGCTGAAACTTCTACCGCCACGACCACATCGCCTGGCTGCTCCAGTGTACCATCAGCTCAGCCACGCTCCACGCCCCACGGCCCGCCGCCGGCCCTGTCCTCCGCTGGCCCCGGCCGCCCAGCCACCCCTCATCTGCTGACCTGCATGCTCGAGCGGTAGAACTTGGCATAGTCCTTCTTGAGCTTGAAGTACAGGCTGCTGACAAAGTGCACGCTGGCGCTGACACTGGGGTCGGGCTCGGGCAGCCGCTCCAGCGCCGCCGCGCCCTCCTCGATCGCCGCCTTGCACTCGGCGACCTGCCCCTGCTCAAGCTGCTGCTGCGCAATGTGCATGCTTAGGTACAGCAGCGGCTCTTCGGAGCGCGGCAGCTTCAGCTCGGCAACCTTGTCGGAGGCGCCTTTGAGGAAGGCAACGGCTGCAGCAGGGTCCTTGATGCGCTTGGACGCGCTGACCGCGAGGTGCGCCAAGCGCAGCAGGTTGAGCTTGGCGCCAAAGTCGGCGACGAAGCCGTTGTACAGCTGCACCAGCAGATCGCCCTGGTTGAAGGCGGGCTTTTGATAGAGCTCCTCCAACTTGAGCGTGAGCTGGTGCCATAGCTTGCGCTGGTAGAGGGTGCTGAGATCGGACAGATCATCCGCTAGGTCCGGTTTGTCTATGGCCAGCTGGTCAACAAACTCGAGTGGCTTGGCCATGGTGGGCGAGGCCCGGGACTCTACTGTGCTAGATCGTGATCACGAACGCTCGCGTGAGGTTCGGGGGGCTGAAGAGGGGTGACGGATAGCAACACGTACTGTAGATGGCAAATCAAGGTGCGCAGGTTTGATCAGCAAGTGCAATGTGAATCGAGGGTGGCCTTTGGTGCCGTCTTGAATCCATCCATCCATGTGCAGCTGTACGGTAGCTCAAGCTGCAGTTTTTGCGTCGTCAAGCCCCTGCGTCGCTGTGTGGGCAACTGCAAACGGTAACGGCAAACTAATAATTGCTATGATAATTTGCAACTACTGTGTATAACGCGCTGTTGAATACCATTTGGAGGCCTGGTTTGGCCGACTAGAACGCAGTCATTTGTCCGCATGTACAGTAGTAACAGTTCCACTGTCCTGGCGGACGCATCACTTTGGCAAAGACACGACCAAAGCAGTCAGCCAAATCCAGCGCCACTTTCACATACATGTAAGTATCATCAGAAGGAAAAGTAAAGTGTCGTTTCATGGTTACCAATTGGATAGTTTTGTGCACAAGCCACCCCCTTCATCAACACGAGCTGGACAGTGCGCCGTGGGCGGCATATCAAGCACAGGAAGACGACCAGCAATATTCAAACATTCAAAGCAGCCAACTGGTCGGCTATGTGCCTGCACTGTACGCCAAGGATCCAAGGGTTGGGAATTGTACAGGGCGCTAGCCAAGGGCCGCATTTGCAGGCCTGGTAACGGGTGGTGCAGCAAGGCACCAATTGTGGTTCGGAAGCTTAGGCACAATCAAGCGTACAATTGCTGACCTTTCATGCCCGCCAGACCAAAGTGTGTCCATCTTGCAGAACCCTCGTCGCGTTGAATGCGCAAAACATCATGGCGTGGGGGACGTATTGCTGCCAGCATGACAGCACGGCGCTGAGCAAAGCAAAGACACCATGCCTTGGCACGATCCGCCAGAACGCACAGCAGGCTTACAAGGGTTGCGTCACATGTGCTTAGTCATCAGAACTGCCAGAGTTGGAACTGATGCTGTCGCGGTTGTTCACTGCTGGCCCATCGGCGTGGCCAGCGGACGCACGCCTAGGGGTGGTCGGACTGTCAGGTGGGCTGTTACCTGCTCTCCCTGAGCCGCCAGCGCGGTCGGAACGCGAAGATGCGGGGCCGCCGGGGCCGCCAACATCAGTGCCAGCACCAGGGCTGGCGGTCAAGTCATTCCTAGCGCCTGCGGCGGCGGTGCTTGCACCACTGCCGCTGGGGCTGCCGGTGGCACCACCGCTGGCCGCGGAGGTCGGTGTCGCGTCAGTGCCGCTACCCGCGTTCACGGACGCAACTCCCGCATCACTGGCGACTCCTGCACTGGCAGCGCCGCCATCGCCGCCGGCGCCGCTATCGCCGCCGGCTCCGCTATCTGGAGAGCTTGTGGCAGCACTGCCCGTCCCCGCAGGTGAGCCCGTGCCAGCAGCACCGCCGCTGGCGCCAGTGTCAGCAGCAGCCGCACCACCACCAGCAGCCCCAGCGCCAGAGCCCGCGACAGCGGCGGGAGATGAGGCCGCAAGGAGGAGGGGGTGCTGGAGCAGGAACTGATGGAACAGGGTGTTGAGACGGCGGGCAGGGGTGCCCGAAACCTGGATACGGGTTGACGGGGACGGATGCACGTGTCGACGCCATATAAGCAAGCTTCACGCCCCGCAGAGTGCATAACTTCGCCTGCCGCTGCCGCGTGACAGCAGCAACCTGCTATGAGAGTGTGCAGCGGCTGGCTGCTGTGCATGCAGGCGGGCAACACGGCTGAATGTGACAAGGAGACAGCAGGCAGCGCAGCCCACAGAGCTGTGCGTCAAGTTTTTTGGCCACCTGCTTTCAGGCCAGCTCTGAATGCGGCTGGAAGTTGCGACGCAGCTGTCAGCGGCTCTGCGGGCTGCCAGCACAAAGTAGCAACGCACCTGGACAGGGCCGGCCCTACCAACCTGCAGCAGCTTGCAGGGGGACGCCTGTCAAAGGCCGTTGCAGGCAGGGACAAAGGTGGGGCTCGTGAGAAGGCGCGCGTCGGTGAGGACCTGTCTGGTCACCGTGATGGGACTGCCAGGACGCCGCACCTGCAGGGTAGGCCCTGCCAGTGCAGTGCAGGCACCTGTAAGTATACATGCAGCAGCCACGGCAAGGAGACAGCGGGAAACGCAATGCACCAAGCAGCTCAGAGGCCACCACTGAAGGCGCGTGCTCTGCTCTAATGTCGAGACCCGCGAGCCGCCCATCGGCAGCTAGAGCTTGCCCCCAGTGTCAGATGACGTCACTCTGTACAACATCTTGATGCCTCACTGTTGCGAATCCAGCGCACAGGAGCGTGGCCAATATGGCCACCTGAGTGGTCTTGAGGGACCTCATTTTGGGCAAGGTCGCCTGTCAAATTCGCGTGGCAGCCTGATGAGAATGACGAGAAGTCTAACGCAGCTGAACAATTGACAAAAAGAAGCATTGTTGAACAACACTATCAGCAGTGCAGTTGTCTATGTACAGACCGCTAGCGACGCAGTGCTGCATCATGGTGATGTGGCATGCATGGCAATCCTCGGACGCGCAGGTCAACCTCGGGACTGTTGATCTCAACAAGGGCACGTGCCAACTGCCGCCTTGACCCGCCGCAAATACCGCCAGCAATGTTATAAGTGTCATAAGCATCAAGACAATTTTTCTCTCCAATTCTCGCCCATGAGGCCCTGCGCACAGACTGTGCGTCAAGCGCAGCTTGATCAGCTAGTGGTGCATGCGTAATGAGCTGCTGTACGTGTCGCTGTAGACCGCCAGCATGGGCGCAAGCACAAACCCACTGCTGACAGCTGGCAGATTCCAGCAATGCAGGTAGCAGCTCAGGTCCACAAGGTGCCGGCGCGGACTGCTTCACAAAGTCAAAATCAACTGATCCGTTGCCTGGCAAGAGCTTCCCTGTTACAAAACACACATGGATCGGCCTGCAGTCAGCGAGCTTGTTGGCAGCAGCTAATGTTCCTGAGTGTTGTGGTAGATATGTATGTGTCGTCTCGCATACGGAAGGTGTCAAATTCTTGCATGGGGTGGCATGCGTTTTGCCATGTTTTTGTGCGCCCTGTGCAATTTAGGGTCAACAAAGGTCCGGCCACGGCTGCGTGCATGTGCGCACACGAGCTGTGGTGGGGGCAGCATGGTACCCGCCCAACAAAGGCGCATCGTAGGAATGGCGCAGCAGCCGGGCAGCATTTGGCAAAATCAACTTTGCCAACGCATCCTCCACGGTCCCACGCAGCGTGCGGTGCCCCCACGACAACATCAAGGGGCTCACGATGTCGCAGCCGATGGGTGTGCTGAGTACACGCATGTTTGGGCACATTAGAAGGTGTCCACGCAGATCATCCACGCCACGCGCTCCTGTCATTGGTGTATTCACCACGAGTGGGACATGACCCGCCTGTGCAGTTGGTGACAACACAGCAGTCAAGGGCGCTCGTTGCTGACGCCGCCGTCGGGGCCAGTAGGGCCCGGGTTGGTGGCAGGTATGTACGCAGGACCCGCCGCTGGCTCGGCGGG